GTGCTGGTTGAATTCTCTTTCTCTCGATTTAATACCAAATTTATTTTTACCCGAATAGTTGCTTAACTACTAATTCCATCCTTACCTTTCCTAATTTGCGAAAAGTATTCTACACACTAGACACCGAGCTTTCGCGCCTATGCAATTTTAAAGCTTTTGCTATCGTGATCTAAATATTTCTTAGGTTGCGTCACGTATTAGTAATTGAAAAAAGATTTTGGACTGAACATAATTTGATTTTAATTTGGTTAATTGACACCTTTTCTTGACTTTTAGCCAACCACCGCGAACATTTTGCATCAGTGTAGCACATTCAAAGAACCATATGAAAAGAGTTATTTAATGGTGCTTCAGCTTCGGGGTTATTGAAAGCATGGTGCTGTAAGTGGTTCACGAAGCATTTTCGTTCGTTTGCTGCGAAGATATTCAAATGAAAGCTGTGACAATTTCACTCTTCTTCGCAACAATTTGCATGGCAGGTTCTCGGCTAGCATCTTGGAGCGATGAATCAGAAAAACCAATTCCCATTATGCGATGTGTTTACATTTGCGGGCCTGTAAATGCTTGGTCCTCTTAAATGTCTTGCGAAATGTACCAGCCAAAATATTTTCTCAGTGCTTGACCAAGTTAATTTAAAAAAGAGGGTAGATTCCGGCCTGACAATTATTCTGTTCAACCTTTGGACGTTGCTAGATGAGTCACAGTTTAAAATAGTTCTGTGAGGAATGAAGGGGAATTAGCAGATAGAACAGAGAGTCTTGTAAGCGCACACAGATACAGTCATAATTTGAACGGAAGTGCATATACACATTAACAATTGAAAGAGGTTTTCAATCTATTTTTTTTGTAATTTTTGTATGGGAAAAGAACAAGTTGAGCTCCACCGCTCTTTAAGAAAACGGTGTTGTGCTCCGCATTTTCCTTTCCCTTAAGTTTAATGCATTTTGTCCCAAGGTAAATGTATTAACACAAAGAGGCAACAGAGTGGATTCTAGAAGTTTATGTACTTATTTACTGCTGCACAGTTGCAAAAAATTAAAAATCAGATCATTTTAAGAATGATGTCTAGTTAAAGAAACCGATCTAGCTCTTGAAGTGCCTAAAGTTATGCATCTTTACGGCAAATACTATTGTCGTACCTGAGACCAGAATATGATTTTCATGTAGGTGTGGACGCAACTGCAACCATTTCTGCTTTAGTCATATGTGTTACGTAATTTACCGCTAAATGAATCTAGTGCATTGACTCGCTTTGTTATTGCATTAAGAGACCTCGTAGGCATGATTCTAGAATGCTATGAATATTTATTTAATCAGCTGTTATCAGCGAAAGCACGTCTATTTGTGTGGATGGAACCAAACTAGAAGAATCTGCAATGGATGCAGCGTGTAGTTGCATTCCTTATGATTTCACTTCCCAACATTTAAAAGCGTGCAAATGATCCGTAATCAGGGAAACACGGCTTGGTCACCTAGGCCTTAACTCGAGGATAGCATAACACGATTTACTTTAACTTTATTTAGGTATGCATCACTTTTGAGCTAAAAAGGGTAAATAACAAGACTACAAAATCAAAAAAAATGTGGCAAATAACTGTCCACTTTTGCTTACACGGGGAGGTAATGATTAAACGCACAGTTGAATCGGCTTTATTTGTGCCTATTCAAGAACAATAAATTAAGGTTCGGTGGCTTACAAGGGAAGCATTATGATTGGTGATGTGGAGACGAGAACAAAACACTGAAGTTCATGCAATGTACTTGTGAACTACTGTTATTTTCAAAACACGGAGGCTGAAAACTATGTTAACTATGTTAACAATGAAAAATTACTTAGCATATTAGCTTGTTGTGCTGCCTTGCAAATTCGAGTTGCTCAGAAATAAATCAAATCTGTTCCTTTTATATAAGCTGGCTTTTCTCTTACTATCGCATTTTCCAGCATGAAACATCATGCAAGGAAGCATAAAGACGAATCGTAGAAAAAAAGGAAATAAATGGGAAGGCAGCCAAGTGCAAAGGAATACAAAATGAACTAAAAGTGAACCAAATCTACTGTTCTAAGGCTTTTTGTCTTTTAATTTAACTGACTTAACTGTGTTTTACTGTTTACTAATTAAAGCTTAAAACAAACAATCAAGTGGTTCAGAATTTAAGGCAGGTTTGTTGAAAGTTAAAAAGTGTTTGTGCACGCATTGGTTTTTGATAACTTCAAAGTGGTGTTTCACGGGGTACCATGCCATTTCATCCGGGAACAGTTAATAACCCAGTTCCGAACTCTATCCGTCTACTCCCGTGCCACGCGGCATGGCAGATGTCTGTAAAGTCTTTTTAACCTTATTTTAACCCCTGGGGTCTATTTCGGTGAGAATTTTTGCTCTGTTTAGGTTAAAATTATTGTTTTTTTTTACAATTTTCACAAACTTATGATCATGCTATTCGTGTAAAAAGAAATTCTCAGATTAGATAGAATTACTAATTTGGAACATTCTGCCATAGCGTCTGCATAAAGAGCCAGACTTTGGTCGACAATATTGCCCTTGTTTTCTGTGACAGCTTTTGGAATGATTGCATGAATTGATCAGTTTGGTCTCAATTATTTTGACAGAAAATAATTGGGATCGTTTAACTGCAAATTAGATTTCACTTCGGTTTCAACCTATTTAAAATGCAGAGTCTTCTTAAATACTAGGGAATGGCTTAAACTAGATCAAATGGGTAGCAATATCAAGAAAAAAAATTTTGGTGTAAAATTACTGTTAAATAAATTCTCAAGCGAAATTCACATCTAAAACTGCTAGTTAAATTTGGAACCACGTAGGCCAAACCCTATGGGAAAACAGTCCTTAATGAAGGTCACTAAACGAACAGGTATGCCTAGGAATAACAAGGATTTCCGGTTTGAGTAGTGGTAGTGGTGCAGTGGCTTAGTTAGCTCTACTTTACAATCCTCTAGTTAACAACCCGTAGCAACCCGAGAAGCGAGAGAAGAGAGGAGACACGACTGTTTATTGGTGTTAAGTAAGCGGATGAGTGAGTTGATGGTGGACGTCTGATAACAGAAACCAATGCAATGGGGATGCGTCAGTGATGCCTTCAGGTCAGGCTTCACTCACGCGCGACCGCTGATAATCCGCCGCCGTTTTATGTTGTAAAAACGCAGCCTTAGCAGTGTGCTTTGTGTCAAGTCTATGAAATTATTGTTTCACAAAGTAAGTAGCAGTCAAAACACAAGCTGATTACGTTTTATCCATAAATGAACGTATTTAATAATCATGTTTCATTTATAGGTAGCCGGAATGTTGCACAAATCATTTGATTCAACTCTTTAGATCACAGAAAACATTCCCCATTCCAAGATATTTTTCTGATTTTGAAATCCAAATTCACGAAGACAAGTTATGTAGTGTCAGTTACGGATTAACTTTTATGATCCCTCCAACCCACACGACCTCCTAAAACTCCCTAAATTAGTAGCTAAGTGCAGTCCGTGACAGATTGAGCTGTAGTAGAAGGTGAAGATTCACATCATAAAATTTTGTCGATGTATGCGTCAGTCAAGGTACTAGTACTCAGTGTAGCCATCGAATTTGTATACAAGTTTGAGCATATCATCGTTCGTGGGCATTTTTCCGACTGTATTTGACTTTAAAGCATTTACAACTCATCATGTCAACAGGCACGAAGACGAACTGACTTTAAAAGCCTACAAATGGGATATGTATTCATCACCTCTAGCACTATTGACGATTTCCGGAATGTGTGTTTGTAAAATCAGCACAAAATTTAGCGACACTGGAGGGAGTTAGAGAAACATATCAGGGCACTACAATGCAGTCTTAATAGTTCATTAAGCAGGTATTTTTACTGTGTTTAATCATTTTCCATCGGATTTGTGTTGCATGTTTTCGGAAATAGTAGTGTAAATAAATCTGAGGTCGTCGAAGTTGATTTTTTTACGGATTACCTGTCGGGGTGCCATGAAAACACAGTGCTCTCTATTAATTACTATTAAAAAATGTACTCTGATCCAGCTATCCAGATCAACCAGCTAAAATTTTAGGCACCAACATGAAATAAACCCTCGAATTGTAACAATGCGCACAATTTGACACCGGAATCAGTTTTATTATGTTAAAATCTGGAAGCATAATATTAAAATTAAAAAAACCCGAAACAGATTTAGTTTTAAAACGAATTATTAAAAGAAGCGTGGCATTAGTTTCTAACGTCTATAAATAAATGTCATAAAAAAATTTGAAGGACATTTTCAACTTTTTCTGCTATCTGAATAGGGTTAATTCCAATTATTTGTTTCGTAAAATTGAAGGTGCAAAATAACGTTTGGGTAGAACCATATTATAAAGGAATAACCTGACACGAATATAGACTAAAATTCTCTTTGACATAGATTTTTGTATCGTATTTGGATACAGCTAAATACATATTGTAAAATAGGTACAAACAATGCACATTGGGAACATGCAATGGCAAAGCAAAAATACCAAATTTGCTAAGGAATACAAATTGAGTTATTTTGAACATTTCAAAAGTTAACTAAATTAACTTTTTACATGGTAAAACGGTGACTAAAGAACACTGACCATCATTTTATTCATAAAAATTCAGAGGTGAGTTTGCGCTCAAATTAGATTGCAACAGAATTAATCTCTGGAGGAAAATTCATTTGTACCCTATTATTACGCCTCTATAAAAATAAAACTAGCTTAGTAAATTTCTTCTAATTGTATTTATTTTCCATTCAGAACTCAACTTAGCATTCATTTTACCCAAACATACTTTCGCCTTATACTAATCCTACTTTGATTCCTTCACATCCTTTACTTTTTAATCACGAACAAAATGGGATATAGGCAAATAAATGGATTTCAACTACTATTTTTTTCTCAATATTTGGAATACTTTTATTATGTTAGTTGTACTAAAAAGTTTTATTTGAGTGTGGTCTTTTGTACAGTGGCGTATTTGGGTATTGTTAAATGATGGTATGTTGTCTCTAACTTGAAGTAAATTTGCTTAGAATTTAATCAGGTTGTTCTCACGTGCCAGTCGTCCCGTATTTGCAAAAGGGATCTCTACGTCTTCGATCCTGAATGCAGACCTCAGCCTTACTTTCGCTTCTCCACGGTCGGTTTATTATAGTAAAGTAAATGTCAAGCAAGTTGACGTCCCCGGTATTTCGGGTGCCTTTGGTATTCTTCCGGAACACGTTCCTACCATCGCATCTCTCCGACCTGGTGTCGTTGCTGTGACCGAGAACGATGGGTCAATTAAAAAGTACTTTGGTACGGTATAATTAAAATTAAATATTTTGCCTGTTGTTTCGCAAAGTTTCAAGTATTTTTTTATTTTCTATATTTTAGTAAGTAGTGGGACCGTCACAGTAAATGCTGACTCAAGTCTTCAGATCCTTGCTGAGGAAGCTGCCACTTTAGATCAATTAGATCCTCAGGCGGTTCGCGACGGTCTTGCGAAGGCCCAGTCACAGCTCTCTTCTGCAACCACTGACCAGGCTAAAGCCGAAATTCAAATCAGTATAGAAGCTTTTGAAGCTATGGCTAATGCTGTTTAACTTCTTAAGGTGATTCAATTATGTAAACATTTTAGTTAATTTCATAGAAAACCATATTCCTGTTGTGTATTTCATCAGTACGAAGTGGTTTTTTGCAGACTTGCAACTTCCAACGTCTCTGGTTGACACTTCAGTTGTATTGTATACCTTCCACTCGCGTTTCCTAATCCTAGACTCCAGGTGTCCCTAATACTAGCCGCGTGCCGATTTTCTGGTGGTACTAGTCATAAATCAAATAGTTGACCACGGAAATCTAATTAGCTGGTTACTGAAATGTATTTAAACCGTAAATCCAGGGCCAGGTATTTTGCAGGCCCACTCAGTTCTTTCACTCTTATTGGCTTGCCACATTGCACCCGTCCGACTCTCATGTGCCTTCCAAAAAATTCAGTTTTTTATTCTATTCCCGAAGGGTAGTTAGGCCAATACCCTCTTATTATTCGATCATTTTGATTCTAAATACAGGTAGTTCCTCAACTGGCTGGCAGTGAGGTTAATCCTCCTAGTTTTCTCATTTCCTCCAAAGTGGTCATGCCTAGTCCCCAGGGTCTAATTTTAAACTATGAACCTGTTCGCCGTTGGACGACTTTTTCACCATATGCTGTATTACCATGCTGATCCTGAAGCATTTTAAAAGCGCGAAAGGTATCAATTAATGAGGTCTAGATTTTACAAATATTTTGTCCTCTGTGGACCAACTCGTTCCATTAACTTCTTGTTTCGCACTAGATGTTTTGAAACAGACCGATTTCAAACGTAGCGAACAAACTTCTTTCCGTTGTAACTCATATCAACCAATCTTAAGTCCTGTACGTATGTCGCGAGAGTAAACAAATTCAGGTGTTCAGCGTACCGATGAATAAGTGACCTGAGTATGTACTCTAACAATTTTGAGTCATGCCATGGACACCTCTAAATAATGTTGTAATTAGATACTTCTCGGACAATCATTTATCTAAAAACGTGTCAAAAGCAGTAGAAATTATTAAATCGACGAATAACAGGTGGTACGAGCTGAGGGTACTACCAAAGCCGTAATTCTGCTCTCCTGCTCCCTATTGATTTTAACGATGGTACATGCAGTTACGACCCACATTAGTGGCGTTTTCTAGTCAAACATTAAAGCCTAGGAAACGCCATAGGCCACCTTAGCATAAACTAGATCAATGGAACGAGAACAACACCTTTTTCAGATCGGTCATAGTTTCTGACAATGAACTTCGTAGGTATGTTACAACTTTCACACCATGCAGATGAAGCGGTTCGCGGTAGCAGCATGCTGAGAGAAATGCTTTGAAACGGTCCGCAAATTGCAGTGCAAATTTGTTTCTTCAATTATCACGGAGGAATGTCAATATCAGAGGCGTAGTCCCTGGCATAGAATTTGGACGATCCGTTCCGAAGAAAAGGGTTTCAAAGTTGCAGAAATATCACCTGCAAATTTAAGTGAAGCCATACACACTTGTGCAAAACCACGATGCGATTCTAGTTGAGACCATTATTGCGCATCATTCGTGACTGCTGGATTTTATGGTCGCACTCAGGTCGTGAAGCAGATTTTATTCACCATCATTAATTAAAGAGTATCATTTTCAAAGTCAGACATTTAGCGCGGATCTGTTGTTAGGGTTCACTACGCCACTGCATGGAAGGTGGAGAAATTAAACTTGAATCGGTCAAACTGTGAAAACTAAACAATTTTTAAAAAAAAGTAACCATTGATGACAACAATCAGATAAATTTACTGGGATTGCACTCCAGCAGACGGCCACTATGCCATGAGGTTTGCAGGAGTTCAACCAATCGCAGCAGAGGAAGGGTCCCAGCGCAACTACCGAGTTTTTCAGAAGCAAGGTAGTGAAAAAGGGGCTCGATATCGGTGGAAAACTTCAGCCGCCACGTACTAGAAGGTGGCTCTAGAACCATTCCGCCTGAACCCCGCAAATGCTTTCCTCGAGGGATCGGAACGGCAAGAACCTATGAAGACGGAAAGAAAATCTGTGCATGTACAGCTGGGAAATTTCGATAGAAGGGATTGGATGCAACCCTTGACATATTCCATTGAAACAAATAGATTTAGGCACTGAATTAAAACGGAAATTTTCCATCCCGGAAATAAACTAGATGCGTAACATCGGCCTTTTTTGAGGCCGATGTTTTAGACATCGTGGAAGTGTGAAAGTGCCTTAACAATAAACATTCTGGCCATTTGAGCACAATTGAACGCTAATTGCATCGATAAAATAGTATATACTGTAGTGAATACGAAATTGAATTAATAAAAATGTTGATTTATATGCAGTGAACGCATTAGTGCAAAAATTGCCATGAATCCAAAAATCGAGCATTTAGCTAAAATTATCTCACTTCAAGTAATTCACAGTGGAGTTCAGCAAGAACCTTAGCTCTCTGTTCATTCGGACCCCTTCTACAATAGAGATAACACAGATTTCGGAGTGCTTGGTTTTCGACACAATAATCAATCGGTAACATACGAAATCGGTGACAAAACCGTTAACCAAACGAGCCCGTGGGCAGGCGACCATGACTCTGATAAAAGTAGAGGCAGATCATGACCCTTGATTTTGGGTTTCTCAAGGAAGCGGGGAGGGTTTTTCAAAAAAAATGCCTTCCAGTCGACTGAGGACCAATCCTGCCGCATAACTTGCGGCTGACTAACCTTCAGCCAGATTAGAAGGATTTCGAATATTAATGGTGATGGGAATAACTCTTCTTCGCCTAAAACTTATTTCTATGTAACGAAAGCATACCCCGTATTAATGACGCTATGTACGTTAACGTGATTCCGGAAACGAGCGCTGAAACTAGAAGCGGGGATAATCTGAGGAGGCTTAGAAGCGGTTTGTCCAACATTGCAGGGTCCGGGAGATCAGATATTTGTCTCAATTCTTTGCAGGTGTCTGACAAGCCTCTCACTGTTAAGAGATTTTCGGTAACTCGCCGAATGAAACAGGAAACTGGGCGAGCAGCCTCAACAAATTTATCATTCAAAGTGCAGTGCCCTGATTGAGACAATGACTGAACTGCTAAGTATATTTGAGCCTAATGTAACGCAATTTAAAAACCAATATATACTTTCAATCTAACAGCAATTAAGTCGAGTAGAGGTGTCAAGCCAACACATATTGCCAATTGGGTTAACCTGATTAGGAACTCCTCACGCAGAGGATTAACGTTCAATCCACAGGGAAAAAGTAAGTGAAATGCCATTCTACGGACCTCATCTTCACACGTAGTTGCAAAATGAGCGGCGAAAGCATCCAATAACTCTAAAGTCTCGAAATCATTTGGAGCCTACAAGTAAAACGATAAATGCTGCCGCAGTTAGAGAACCTAACCTCGCCATTAACCAGAAATAATTTATCAAGCATTGGGTGTAGTGTTTCAAAGTTAATCGTGTTATCTCGGCAAGCACATTCAAAGCTCTGTAACGATTCTCTACAACCAGAAGCGATTGCCATTTTGAACAAGAGGGCCGACTTTAATCACCGCTATCATCTATCCAGTCAGCACCAGCGATTTGAAGAAAATAATTGAATACTACTTTCGTCCTATTATTTCAAATATAACAAGTGCTTTTATTGAATAAGATAGTTATTGAGGTGTACTTACATCAAATATTTATAGTAGATGCAGACTTACCTGATCGGAAGAAATAAACGACAATGTTCTAAATATAATCTCGAATTCTTTTCACAAAATCGGGATGTCTTTAAAAGATTTTAATTAAGTTTTTAATTTATATTTAATGAACAGCATTCTTTCTGCCATATCCGATATAACGACATTTATAGTCACTGAATTTTGACAATAGTGCTATTGACCTAAAATGTTATGCATGTATTTCCTAGGGATTCCGAACGCATTAGTACAAGTTTGTGTCAAATATATCAAGATTCTATAATTTAGGAAATGAATTTTGAAAAAAGTGATGATGCATTAACGTTGCTCCCAAGATTCATACATTTATATAAATTTATTTTCTATCATGTCACACATGGTCTGGTTTAGCGACTAATTAATTTATACCTCAAAAGACATTCCGACGACATCAATTGATATGCTCTTTCCTCGAAGTTCATCGTGCTCGTCACCGTCTGTTTGACAATGTATATATTAAATATACGGGTCTGAAACAAACCCCAGCAGGTGTTTATTTTTTTGTTCAAGAAAAAACATAATTGTTTTGAAGAAATTAAATAGCCTGCTCATTCAACTATATTGTTTGTAGGGAGCCTTGATTTGGTTTGTATGAAATCATTCAGACATTGTTGATCGACCTCTTGAATGAACAACCACGTTTCATTTTTTGGCTACCCGAGTCCATATTGCGGCTGCCATGCGCTTTGCATCCATGCTGATCTCTGGTTGGCTGCTGGTATGTAGCGTAGGCGTTTCAAAGGGGCACCTGCCGACGATTGGCTGACTCGTTGGGACTCAATATGTCAGCGCCTTGCTACTACATTGCGGGCGTGATCTTTTGCGATGCTTGTTCGCTCTGCTGTCTTGCCACACTTTTATTTTAGGTATTGACGCAAATGCCCTGTCCCGAAGCATCAGATGGTAAAGTCCGAATTCTTCCCGTTGTATTCAACAAAGAAAATTCATTGCCTATACCGAAGGAATATGTATGCGGTGGTGTAGCATCAATGGTAAATATAGTTGTTGTCTTTCCTCTACACAAAACTGTTTTCTTCCAACAACTTGACGGTGTTAAATGGAAATCAGCAGTTATGCGGTTGCGAATAGAGGGTCTCCGACATGTGTATAGGGGTGTTGTGCCTCCTCTTCTACAGCGTGCTGCTTCGGCATCCTTGATGTTTGGTTTTCAAAGCCAAGCTGAGCGTTTTCTCCACAGGCATCCAAGCACAGTGAATATGCCTCCCTCTGTTAAAATCGTTATATCTGCTACTATGGCTGGCTGTTTAGAGGCGTCGTTGACCCCGTTTGAACGCGTTCAAACTTTACTACTGTCTTCCAGCAATTCCACATTTTCTAGGAACACATCCCATGCACTATACAGTCTCTTCAAATCATACGGGTTCAAGGAATTGTACCGAGGGCTTACACCAATCTTACTTCGGAATTCTGTTGGCAACGTTCTGTATTTCGAAGGCAAGGATTGTCTGTATCACAAAAGTCATTCTCAAGATCTTCCATTTGGAAAACGCCTATTGACTGATTTCCTAATAGGTGGATTTTTGGGCTCAGTCATTGGTGCGATACTGTTTCCCTTAAATGTGGCAAAAACCCAAATGCAGTCTTCAGTGGGTATGGAGTTTTCTAGCCTTCGAAGTACTCTACGTGGCCTTCTGAACGAAAGGGAACACACTAAAATATCGCGACTATATAGTGGATTGCCTGCCAATTTCGCGCGGTCTATGCTGTCTTGGGGTGTAATCACGATGGTTTACGAGTGGCTGCTTACTCTTTAAGGAAATTTTATTTTTTATGTACAGTGTCTCAAATTTAGAAGCCGGTTCGACCTGCTCTAGTCATGATTTTTATAACACTCTCTAAGCTTGCCTTTGTTTTTATTTTTTTGAAAATACTTGAAACTTTACCAGTGGTCCTGTTCTTGTTTGGTCTTGTTAACTGCGTTAGAAGTTGCTAGCCTTGACCAAGTTGGTGAGCTATTCTGGGGCGAGTATGTCAAGTCGTTGCTTGTTTTGGAAGTAGCTAGTTTAGGTTTTCTGCATGCCTCTTTGTATTACAGTCCTCATAAAATAATCTTCCACAATGTAATTGCAGACAGTTACCTGGTCGGGGTCTGTTAAGTCAATTTTAGCAATATTAATTCCCTAGGTCCTAGAGCGTTGGGCTGAAGAACTTAGACTGCTATGGTTGGGTTTTTACAAGCAAACAGATGTTCTGGCAATGCGTCTCGTATGTTATTCTATGTTTTCGTAGGCGTTTCGGAAAATTGGTTAAGGCGTCTGACAAAGTAGAAATGGGCTGATCCAAATGCTCTCTTGGGGCATGTGGTTCACCTGTGTACGATTAGCTGGTTGTAAAGCAGATCATGTTTGGCACTGTAGTCATTAATATTGAAAAGCAACGACTACTGTGCCTGATTTTATGGTATGCATGGTCCTAGTTCGTGACTAGAGCTGTTTCGAAGGTCATAATACCGTATCTGCGTTCTCTCGTTGAAGCTCTCTACGCATCAGGCACAGTAAACAGCCTCCGAGGTCAGGCACTTCAGTGCGTCTAGTGATGGTTTACTAGTTCTAACTGCTGCCTAAACATTCACCACTAGCAGTGAAGTAAGAACTCGTTTAGAACTGCTGTGGTTAGAAGGCAATGCCCTCATCATTCGCTACATCGTATTTGTACCGTTCATTCAATTTCACATCGTTTGTTCGTCCTCGTGTGTTTGAGTAACCGTTGCAGAAACAGATACCAAATGCCCTATCAATTTTCTCCGAAAGTTGGGCGCGTCCTCACCTCACCCGGTAAGTCACTCATCTTGGGAGCATCTTCAAGAGCAAAATCATCTGATCGGTTTGCGTGGCTGTTGTACATTTTGTACAGTTCTTTCCCATGCTTGTTACAAAATCTAGCACACAACAATCTTCTGTTAAGTCTATTATTGAAGGAAGTGAATCGCTAACTTTTCTTGATGGTAAATGTCACTTGTTTCGAAGTCCTCACAAGTGAAATGTTTTGTTCTACCATAGTCCATTGGATTTGGTTTTTTCTTGCCCTCTTATATGTATCCATTTATGTTGTTTTTAGGCTTCACAGATGTTTAAATTCCTTAGCTATTAATCCATTGAACACAGCCATGTTACTTGTAAAAACAGGGCTCTGGTTTTTCCCTCTACATCCACTTCTTAGTTTTCACATTTTACACGCTAGTATGTTATTCAAACCGTTCTGAAACTTAATTTTGGGCAGTAACTTTACCGGTTCTGTGTGCTTATTTATTTTGCAATTAATCGTACATTAAATAAAAAAGCTACTTGAAATTTCCTTCTGAAATAATGGTAGCCTTTCCTTATTCAATTAAAAAGTCATCTTTTGAGATAAAGTGTGCGTTGAACATGCTATTTACAAAGGTGGAAATGAAATATTCGTTTTTGATCTGATATGCTCTTATGGTCCAAAACCAATTATCGTCAAGTTATGTCTAGGTAATCTAATTGAATTCGAGAATATCCTCAGTTTCGCCATTTCGTTTTGAAAATGAAATGTAGTGAGGCTGGTTTCGGGAACAAGAAATGTTGCCATTTTTGTTACTTTTACACGCTATGCTATAGTTATCCTTTCACTCTGTGCATATTAAAAGGTAAATTGGTGGGTTTCAACATCTGGCTATGATTTCACTTCTCTTGACTTGCATTTTACGAGAAAACGTGGATAATAAGCATGATGTTTGTCCTTCAAGTGGAGAAGTGGAATGATGTCCAATTGACTGTTTTACTTAAGTTAACGCGTTACTTTTAATGCAACTACTTACAGCATAAAATTTGAATTTGGTGCTTTACACCTCCTAATAATCAACTTATTCTCACATTCATACATTATTTGATCAAATTCGTTATGAAAGACGAATTATTATTCGAAAAGTGTGCGCTATTTCAAGGTGCTTGAGGCCAATTTCATGGTGACATATCATCTATTCTTCTTCACGAAGACGCCACACCTAGAATTTATTCAAAAAAATGATTATTTGGATTCAAAGACCGGCGATTCTCTGATATCTTGATGTGGGCAGTCAATTTGCACCATTAGCAATATACGACAAGCACTTTTTTGTAAAAAAAGGAAACCTTGGCATGCGGGAGAAAAAAAATGCCTGATTTAATGCAACTTCTGCTCTAGTGGCAGTAAAAAGGGCCCTTAAAATGTTAAGTTATTCATTTGCTTCGCATTTGTGCTGCAATCTCCTGTCTTAAGCCTTCCTTTTATATTTTAGTTCATTTCATTCATAAACCGTTTCAGACGGCTAAGGTCTAAAATTCCTAGAAGTATCTTCATTTTCTAGGCAAGCAGAAGGTTTGATTTGTAAGGGATTTAACTACTAATCAATAAACAACTTACATTTGTCACTTACCCTCTTATTTGGGCTGCTTAACTGTTATTATACATGAGAACTGTGTATTCGCCAAACACTGCGCCTCTAATAAGTTGCAGTACTTTAATTTTGAAGTCAGCCCATTCATATAAGTATTATTGTAGATAAAACGTCTCCATTAAAACCCATGTAGGCAAAGATCATATCACGACATTTTGCAGACCACAATTCCACTTATGCTCATAAGTGGTGCATGAATTACAATTTAAACATTTTTATAAATCCCAGGAACAAATAAAGCAACCCCAAAAACTGAACGACATCTAAAATGGAAGAGATTTTAAATATTGCAATGGTAATCGCAATTGGGCATTATAGTGGAAGCAGTCATAGTATAAAAGATTACCGTTGCTCACATAACATGGCAGTGAATTTTTAGTAAAGCATCAGAAAAAGAGTGAACGTAGAGAACTGTCAGAATAGGTATAACGAGCTGATTGCTATTTGTGACTCACCTTGGCACGATTTCCGGCTAGTAAAAACATAGTCATTCTATCAGTCCAAAGGAGCTGCTGCTTTTTGCGGCATTAGTTCTCTCTGCAAGCGAATGTTGGCTTTGTCATCCAGACGTTCAAACTCCTAATCCATAAGTCATAAATACTTTAACACGTTTTTACTTCCCATTGTATAACGATGGAAAAATAGTAACATTTTAGTTGGGAAGGAATAAAAAAAATTACAACACAATGCGTAGACAGGGTTGTTGAAGCTGGTATGATCTTTGCAGCATGCGATGGCTTTAAACGCAGAAAAGGACTAGGGGCATTAACGTGTGTCAAAAAGCTCAAAATTCTATTGGGCAACCTACAACGCGAAATATCGAAGGCAGGTTCGATGATGAATTATTTAAATTGCCGCGGATGTTCATGTTCATGTTCGTTACAAAACATGGGTTCAAACTAAGGTAGCATATGCTTTTGTACATCTGCTTTTGTAAATCTTTATGTATTAATGCGCAAAAGGTGAAGACTTCCAAAAAAAGATGCAAGAATATTATTCAGCATAAGTAAGCAGCTCACAATATATCACAATAAAATAGATCAAATGCCAATGTTAATTGGCAAAGTACATTTGCTTTAACTGTAGAGCTGGAGCCTAAATAAGGACTCTAAATTTTAGTGTGGCATACAATGCTTACAAAACTTCCAGTAGCTGAATTAGAATTTGGTAAAGGTTTCTATTTCGTTCAGAATACAGGAAATTCAACTGATAGTTTAAATTAACTGTAATGGCAATTTTGCTGATTTTTTCTAGACTTTTATTCATGTAACTTAGTCTAAACCTCAGCAATCTTTATTCACTTTCTTCGCTTGAAGTGGCCAATTAATTTTTGTAGCAAAATAACAATGTTCTTTTTCATTGCCTTGACGTAATTTGATTGTTAGCTCAAACAGCTAATAAAGCTTTCATTAAAGCCCGATTTCCTTATTTTCTGCGTTGTATTCCATAATGCCCAAAATAATTGTATTCCCTTCAGTACATTTTTTGAAACGATGATTTCATATTCAACGATCTCACTGGCGTAAAGGTCATCTACAAAAAGATAAAAACCTCATATTTGGTCTTAAAATCATTTTTGGCAAACAAAAACATTGAGGTCAAAATTCTTAATGAGCATTACCAGATAAAAGAAGTGAGAACCAGCAAATGATTGACGGTCCAACTGGGTCCTTTTTTGGCATGTACATTTCATTCGAAATTGTTTTACGATTATCAAGAAATTGTCAGCAGCCCAAATAATATGTAAAGCCATTTTATGGTTGTCTTTACTGAATAAGCTGAAAGTACATTGAAAACTGCCTTAGCATTTGATTCTTTCTAGTATTGTATCTATAAATCGATTGCACGCGGACAGATATTTTGCAAGACTGCTCTAATAATGTTAAATAGGTAATGTGACTGCCAGGAGGGGACCTAAGAGAGAACGTTAACAACAATATGTCCATTTCAAACAGCTATAAAATCGGGTCGAACTTCTAAACATCTGGTTGAAGACTTATAGAAAGAACCTAATGCATTATGGACTATAGCATTATTTTATTCTTTGTACGGGAATAAGGAAAGGATGTCAGAAGGGGGGTTAGGAGTTGATCTGGGTCTTCAGGATGCCGTGGTATACGAGATGATAAAGGATAGGCCAGACTGGCGTGCGTTAACCGAATATCGACACCAAATTGTAATGTTCGTTGAGCCAAACTCTAAGTCAACCTACGTTGTGGTTAGCTCAAGCGCGGGGCTTTCGGAATGCTGCAGCAATAGTTTGCTTTCATTCCACACAGCGGTTTCAGAATATCATAAGTGTAAGTTATATGTGAACCATGGCCTTTAGTAGCCATAATACAGGACGTACAGCTAATAATGATGGTAGCTAAAGGAGCAAAATGACTGTCTTTAAATATAAGCGAGTATAAATCTGCCTAGCTATAGCACGCTTAAATCAGGACCTACATTGAATATCTAACTTGGACTGTAAGTAACTAGCTGTCTAATTCGTGGTTTTAATTGTAAGTCTAGATTACGCCCATAAATTTCGTTTACAATTTATATTGGTTCGCCATCGCGTAGCGTTTTCCTTCCACTGCCAAGAGTAAATGAGCAACTACTAACTGTCACATCCATTCCCCCATATTATTTGTATAGAGAACTACGTGGAATTATTTTGGTTTTTCTACGCCATCTCTTTTATAACTGAAATTTCTTTTAAAATCTGAAATAAGATTTATTGCGGTTACTGTACACAAAATCAAAGTAACATTTCGCAGTATTCCTCATAGATGGGATAGTTTACACACCCACTATCCACATTGATTAAAAATTTTTGTTTCTAAATTACTTACGCCGACAAAATACATATGTCTAACTGTCTAATCGTCTGGATTCTCCTAAACACGCATTCAAGCTTTAATACACAATGCTTTAGCTGTACTTGATCAACTTGCAATCAATGTTTTCAGTTCATTATTTTTCCATGCATTAGCAATAATTTATTCACTTACGCTTAATATGCTGAATGGCATCGCCCTTGTATGCGCATTTTTTCTCTACCATCTTTTGCATAATCTACAATTATGACCATGACTCCTAACCAATGGGAAGTTAGTGCGCTATGCTGTGCCCGTGTGCGAAGTGTAGGCAATGGCTTTTCCCCTAACTGTTAAGGAATTCTTTGTTTTCACAACTCGGCATGCCAAAAACCTTGGACATGTGGGTTCATCTTCCTTTTTTTATGAACACGATGCTTTTGGTTGCGTCAAAAAATCATTCGTTGTCAAAAGTGTATTAATTATATGTCAGCCATTTCTAAGTTTTTACCAAAACAACCACCCATATGGTGGGTATAATTTTGGAAGTGCTATTTTTAAGTCTAATACGTAATAAAGGCATGATGTTTAGTTTCTATGAGTGTCTTCACATTACGCAGATTTAAATTAATTATTCTAAGGCGGTTCACCGTCATTGGTAGGCACCTTTAGTCAGGAGTCCAATATTTTTCTTATAGGAGGCAGAACAGGTTTTATACTTTTATCCCCATGGTAAATCGCAAAACGATCAATTGTCTGTCGTTGGGCTGTGCGAAGCTTTATTATCTTTCTCCAATTTCTTTTCTACGTCCTGTACTTCAATTCACACTCGGAATGGCAAACACTTTTTTCATCAACTTATTGATCAAGTTTGGGCTGTTATGGTATGTTTTAACTATTTCTGCCTATGTAGAACCCAAATGGATCTGATAATTGCATTCTCATCAATCAAATTTTTGTCTGACCGCATAGCAATTAAAGAGCAAAAGGGTATTTTATTGTGATGTAACAGTAACTGTTGGTCCGTAATTTTTTTTTCGCGTCCAAAGTTCGTTTCCTTGTCACTGATTAAATTTTAAGTACTCCAATTGATAGATTGATTTAATGTGCTTCTCCGAACCAGTTGCTCCACTTTGGTTTAATGCCAATTTATTGACCATCTTTCCAGTGGAGAAATGTAACTGTGCCAACGGCATCACTTGAAGAACTACTTGTTCGTTTTTTCCTATGATTTTTCAGCTAGCCTACCATGACGTAATAAACGTTAAGTTTTGTATCACGCCTGCCACTGATAAAAGTTTTCCACAAACGTAACATTGTTCCAGAGTGAAAATGCACAAAGTCTTGTTTGTTTCTTTGCTTATTTTAGAATGTCTCAGTTGTTGATTCTGCCGCGATACCTCACTGTCATGAATTTTGTGAACACGTCATTGATGATAGTCTCATGGGCCATCGATTGTCAGCTACATGTGAACGTTATAAAGTAATAGTTTATCTAGACGTGCACACATTTTATTAATCGCATCAACTTGCACTTTATTATGTCTTTAGCTTCTCCATGGTCCAATAAGCATCAGTACCGACACTGATTTGGAGAAGAATAGGAAAAATCTGGCAGCTTTCTTTAACAAGGTTAGCTTGTTAAGTTTGATAAACCAGGTGATTGGATCAGAGGATTGCATTCTATTTATT